CTTTTTTGTTGAGAGCGGGGGAGGTCTGTGCGGGGCAAGCTTGGGGTGGAGGTGACGGCTCTTGCGATTCATTTCCCCCCATCACTGCTCTTCCTCCCCCGCTATCTACCCACTTCATAAGACACGCCGACCCCCCCCCACCCCCCATAACAGCACCAACGCAAACACGCACGCTGCCTCCAGAAAGCGCTGCGAGATGAAATGCTGCGGCGTTAATTGAAAAATACCTCAACGCGGCTGAAATGCCCGAGTGTTGGTGCCGCGGGTGGGAGAATTTAGACGCTGGGGGGCACATAGAAGTTCCGTACAACAACAGGCGTCGCTCCGCAAGCGGACTGTACCAGTCCGGTGTAAGCGTGGATAGTCGCGCGCCATACACACGGAGCACTTTGCCAGGCCCCCAGAAATGCCCATGCTTGGCTCTCTATCAAGAGTCGCGTGGCATTCCGTCGTGATTTGGTCATAGGCAGGAGATTACACACCTCGCTAGAAATTACCCTCCCATTATGGCCGCGCACAAAAGAAATATCCCCCGCATAGCCTGAAGAGTCTGTTAGGGCAGGTGCTGTTAGCTAGCAGCACCTGTGAAGGTCGGCACGGCAAAACGATCGGGTGGGTGGCCAGCACCACACGCCCGGTCGCCTTCGTCTTCTGAGTGGCGATGTTTACACACCGCACCCAGGTACTGATTTGAGGCTGAGGCGACCTAGGGGGGGAAGGCCCGGGACCGGTTCAGATACTCGTCATCGGTGTTGGCCGCGAGCGGGAATCGAACCCGGGAGGGCCAGGTTCGTAGCGCAGCTCAGCGTTAACCGCTACACTACCGCTTCCCCCATACACACGCATACACACAGACACGCGCGTTGTCTCCACATACACCGGACGTGCCATGCAGGTATCGTGAGCCTTTGCAAACGCGGGATTTTCAATGAAGATGTCGCCGGTTTGACCTCCCGGCACTGCAGTTAAAACATTGGGCACATTTGATTTTTTTAAATTCCGCTGTCCACCCAGGCAGAAAAAAATGTGTAGACCGAAGTCGCTGGGCAGGTCGGCGTGTGGCGGAGCAAAGTGTGGCCACTCCCGCCTCTTCCAAGACATCTTCCCAGCGTGGACGAGTAGGTAAAGAGAAATACCCTCCCAGAAGAGCTCTCTGGCGGAGGCTCACTCTGCCAGCAACGGGCGTGAGCAAAGCGATTGCAAGGGCTGCGCCTCTACAAATGTGACGCCAGTGCACAATGAGCTAAGTGCAATATCACTGCGATAGAATGTACACTGAACGTATAACAACATCGGTCAACTCGCCAACAGTTCTTTACGAGGCCTGACTGCTGCTGATGTGGCCGGAAAGAGCGAAACCGGTCCAGAGCGACAATGCATACGCCACAAAACATGTGTTTCCAACTGCAAAACGCAGGAATCCCGTAACTTAAACTATCACCGTTTATTTTGGCCAGGTAACGCCCACTGAACTATGCAGAACTTTTTTTTTTTGTCTCAGAAGCGACCTGGCAACACACGACAGCTCGACGAGAGGCTTGTGTGTAAATCTGCAGCGGACAAACAACTCTCGACGCGTGTCCATTATAAATGTGGAGGGCAACGAGCTCGAGCAGAAAGATCCACGCGACCACCGGGACGGAGGAGAGCGAGACATTCAAACTCCAAATACACAGACGTCAGAATTGTGATGATGGATACCACGGGGAGCTCCAGCATACCGGGCGAGGCCGTCAAGATCCCGCCACCAGGGCGCCTCTTTGCGTGGCGTCGCTATTCCATTTGTGCGTTTGCTCAATAGGGGCTGTCCTTAAATGACGTCACGCACCTAGGGGGGGGGGGGTCAGACATTGTGTGACGATGTGTGACGAGGGGGGGGGTGAGAAATGTGACGTCACATCAAAATGCGCAACTTTAAATAAATATAGACAACACGTTCTACTTAGTTAAATAGACTTTTTAATCAATGTTTTCTCCTACAACATCAGAGTGCAGCGCCACATTAAATACGCACTACAATGACAATAGTTTAAATCAATTTGAAGCATGGTTAATTTTTTTTTGGGGGGGGCAGAGCTTTGTGACGTCATATTTGAGGGGGGGGGGTCTGACTTTTGTGACGCGGTGTGACGAGGGGGGGGGGTGTCAAAAATCGTCCAAAATCGCGTGACGTCATTTATGGACGGCCCCATAGCCGCGTGACACGGGCACTTGCTTGAATGTGCCGAGGAAGCATTGGTCCGGAAAGCCACTCAAGCCGGTGTACGGACACGGATTGTACATCGGAGAGATGGACTCTTTGGGGGGGGGGGGGGTTGTCCACTATTCCCCCCACCCTCCAAGGTTACTCGAGCCAAGAGCCGGCTGCAGTGACCGGCGATTCGCTCGCTGCACGTGAACGCCAGTGCGAGATGAATACTGATGGCAACAGCTCACGGTGGCAAGCAGGAAGGGGCGGTGTTTGGATTTGTGTGTGGGGGGCGGAGAGGTTGTCCAGCCACAGCCACCTATGGGACCTCCATCCATCGCATGAGTGGAGGACATCGTGTACAGTACTTGCAGGGCTGTGCGTAACAACAAGGATGCTGCGGTATTGCTACGGTGGCGAGATGTTAACTACTTCGCCTGATATACAGGGGGTTGTGGGTTCGATCCCGATCCCGACCCTGACACCTCGATATTTGGAGATTTTTCTCCGGGTCTTCCGGTTTTTCACTCCAGATTTATACTCAACATGGGTTTAGAGCATTAAGCGGCTTTACATTTCCACGTGACGAACCACTTCGTTGAGATATCATTTATGGCCAGGTCGCTTCTGAAACAGGTCCCTGCATGGTGGGCTGGTAGGACAAGTCTCTGCGCTGTCTATTGCTGATTTTACACCCAACAGCACGAGATTTCACTTCGTTAAAGTATTGAAAGGGGACGGACGGACGGACACATTAATCTATTGCAGGCTGGTACACTCAGTTTACAACTTCGTTCCTACCAGTAAAAGAGATATATAGCTTAGTGGGCCTTACCTGGTAAAAATAAAAAAAATATATAGTTTAGATTTTACACTGGGCTTGCCATCCACAGGGCGCCGGTCCCATTCGGATTTGACCTCTCTGCGCGGCAGTTGAACCCATTGGCAAATGTCTTAAATTCCTCCCCACTCCTCCCATCGCTCCTGTACGCCCCAGCAGGAGGATGGATAAACACCACCGCTTTAGTCGATCGGCAGTTGGTGAGGTCGAGTGTGGATACCCCCACCGCGTCCTTAGACGTCTGGTCAGTGTGAAAAAGGAGATCAAAATAACATCGTATTGGGGCTCTTCAGAGCTAGCTATCGTGGAGGCCCTTCCGCCGGTAGTGGCTTCAGAAGGCAGTTGCAGGACTGCGCCTTTCCATTGCAGCTTGTATAGATTGATAATTGCCTCCCTAATTTATGTCCTTATCGGTTGGGATCTTGGTCAAATTCGTTTTTTAAGTCAGCTCCACGTTTCTCTGTCCACACCGAGCCTGAAGCGGTGGCAATTTTCGTTATCCGGTACCTGGAGCGGCCAGTGCTGGACATTCCACAATCTCGTGGCGGGGTCAAATATTGTCGTGGCGTTTGCAATACTCAAACCTGTGTCAACTGCAGGCAGCTCCCCCTCCCCCCCCCCCTTGCTGAACCAATGGCAGAACGTTTGCCCATTATCTCACGTTAACTCCCACCCCTCCCCCCACCATTCATATGCAAATTAGATGGAAATTTTGACGCGTTCGAGCATCTATTTATATTAGCACGAAGCAGTACTCGGGCACATCAACCTGGAATGCTCTTGCGCAAATTAGTGTTTTGGCACCCGAAATATTTGTTGTTGAAACCTGCATATATATCCATATTTTATTTTTTTCAAACCTGTTCATACGATTATAGGCATGTAGTTGTCAAAAATACAGGACTGTTTTTTTTATTATTATAGATAGGTGGACATTTTACTTTTAGTGATAGTGCCTTATGCCGCCCCCACACTGCACGACTGCCTAACAGTGTTTTTTTTTTTAGATCGAGTGAGAATGTTGACCACGTGTGGGGTCGTGAGGACTAAAATAAGAATATTTATTGATACTGGCGATATCCCGATGAGCTGTGAAGCTTTGTTTTTTACACCGTTATCCAGTGCTCTTGTGTCAGAGTCTGTGTGCAGCTTGCAACGTTGACTCGACAATGAAGGGACATTCATTTTACATACCACACGTGTCTGCGCGGAGCTTCCATACGCAAATACATTTGCAGTGGCGGCTTTTAGAATGTACGGAATTTAATGATAATGTTGTTGATTCATTTATTTACCGGAAAAGCCTCGCCGAGTCTCTTGGGGCCAGTAAAATGTGTTTAATCCCCCCTGCCAGCCTCTGTGGGTGCACCGTACGATCGAATGATGGGGTAAAGTGTGCGTTACTCCCACCACTTCCAAGACGTCTGGCGAGCGTGGAAGAGACGGCCCAAAATACCCCTCTCGAGAAGCTCTCCAGAGCTCCCTTTTGGTGGTGGCGCGGATGCCCTTCCTGCTAGCGGTGACACGAGAAGAGCGCTTTGCGGGCTTGCGTCTTTGACCCTTTGTCTTGACCAGCGCTCTAGCGTTCGGCCAATGACATTCATTCTTTGTTTGGCTCAAGGAGAGAAACACCCACCACGCATGCACCCTGGCTACACCTCGCACTCGGATTTCCCATCCTCGTCCTAACCAGGTCCAACATCGGCATAGCTTCTGATATCTGACAATATTGGGCGCGTGTATCATGATTTGGTCGTACCTTGCTGTTGGCTTTTACAGTCCAGTGATGGCTTTGCTTGTCCGCTTAAAACGAGATGAACGCGATTTTAAAAATGCATGCGCTACGACATTAGAGTTGAACACCGGTGCTTAAACATTTGTTTACACACAACGATGACTACATAGTGGGCGATCGGCGGTGGGAGGAGGTGAGAGAGAGAGGGAAGGAGAGAAGCGCCTATTTGACGAGTGTTATCAGCGCTGAGACACGGGGCTTGCGTGTGTTTATTGTAGAACGTGCGACGCGCACGTGTTTCACAGCGCCATCTGCTTTACATTCAAACCGCGAGGTAACGCGCGCAAACACACATACTCTTGTTCTTTGTACACACACTGAATTCGACAAGTGTTGTCCTGTGCGAGCGTACACAAACACACACATTTGTGTGACCAGGGCTTAATTTGTCACTGAACATGTTTCCAGCACCCCCCCCCCCCTGCCCCCCACCCCACCCCCCGAGAGGAGGGCAGGAGTGGGTAGGGTTGTATTTTCCGGAGCTCAACCTTGGACAGCTCCGGCTGAATTAAGCCCTTGTATATTTGACCCACATCTGCTGCCTGCAAATAAAACGTGCTCTTTTCGTTTCGTTACGGAGGACACGGACGCGTGCGTTTACCGCCGAGGTTGTAAACCTCTAATCGACGACAACAACTTCGCCTCCGCCGTCCTCGTTCAAGATTTCGGAGAGGGCGTTAGTGACGTGGCCGACGTGGCCGCCCCCATTGACCTCGACGAGCGAGCGGTCTGAAAGCTCTCGCTGCCCAGCCAGCTCGCGGCCCCGGCTCTGATCGTCAGCCTGGCTCGGAGCCCGCGCCCCGTTCTCGGAGTCTCTGACGCGCGTCGGGCTGCTCACTGCCCCCGCCGACGCCGACGCGACTGGCGCTGGCTTCGACTGTGCGGGATTAGGCACCGCCATCCAGAGCTCGTCCAACGACTGCTTGCTCTGCACCCGCTCGCGTTGGCGGCGGCGGCGGTGGTAGCGGCGGCGGCACGCGGCCAAAATCGAGATGATCACCGCCAGCAGGATGACCACGACCGCCACCACTGTCGCCACGGTCAGCCACGTGCTGTCCGCGACGCCGTGCCCGCTCGACGCGTCGCCCTCTTCTCTCTGCCCCAGGACGTCCAGACGCGAGCGGGAAGTTGTTGGCGGCGGCACCGAGGAGGCGGTGTCCTGGCTCGCGACGGAGCGCGGTCGCTCGTCGCCCCACGTCGTTGGAAGCGACCCCGGCGCGGAGGTCGCGGCGCCTCCGACGACCGCCGCCTCCGAACGGTCCTCGTAGAGTTTGCCCAAGTCTTTGAGCATCTGGTCGTAGTCCGCGCTCTCCGTGGCCAGGAAGCAGCTGCTGCCGTCCTCGCCCAGGAAGTAGCCCTGGCTGCAGTCGCAGGTGAAGTTGCCAGCCGGCGCGTTCTCGCACAGCTGGTCGCACAGGCCGAGCTCGCATTCGTCCACGTCGCTGCAGCTCTCCCCGTCCTCGCCCAGCTCGTAGCCGGGGTCGCAGCGGCACTCCGCGTCGCCCCCGACGTCGCCCGGCTCGCAGCCGTGCTCGCAGTTGCGCAGGCTGCACGCGTCCCTAAGCACGCAGCCGCGCGCGTTGTCCGGGTCCACCGCGAAGCCCTCCACGCACGAGCACTCGAACGAGCCCGGCGTGTTGGCGCACAGCATCTCGCACGGAGACCACGGCCGCTCCGGGGAGCACTCGTCCACGTCGACGCACGCGCGTGACCCCGAGTCGAGTTCGTACCCCGGCGGGCACGCGCACGCGTAGCCCTCGCCGGGCCCGCCAGGCACGCACTCGTGCGAGCACGGGCTCGAGAGGCACGGGTCCGTGGCTACGGCCGGGGACACGCAGGTGCGCCCGTCCGGGCCGAGGTTGAAGCCAGGGATGCACTGGCAGCGGTGACCCCCGCCGCCATCTCCCTGTGACCCCGGTCTGCAGATGTGGTCGCAGCCGCCGTTGTTGGCTCCACACCCCGCGGACGGCTCCGCCGGCGGAGGACACGACACGCTTGGCGTCGACCATCCGTGACTCTCGCACGTGGACACGGAGCGCGAGGTCGCGCTGCTGCCTGGGTCCGTGTGGTCGCAGTAGACCTCGGCCGTGGAGCCCTCCGGCACTAGAAAGTGCTGCGAGCTGGTGGCCCCGAAGGGCGTCGTGTAGACGGCGTGGCCGGGCCCCAGCAGCGCCAGCCGCGGGCACATGTGCGCGTACGTGTACTTGCAGATGAACTCGGTCTGCGCGTTGCAGTTGCCTTCCTCCCACTTGAGGTCGACCTCGCCGGTTTTGCGCACGACGTAGAAGCGGTAGGAGAGCACCACGCACCGCTCTGCCGTGCATGACTCCACCGGCTCCTTTGCCCAGTTGGAGTAGCTCCCCGAGTCGTCACCGCTCACCCACGAGAAGCCTCGCAGCGCCTTCTTGGGAGCGACGCACTGCCTCCTCCTCCTGCGCAGTCCCATCCACACCTTGGTTTTGGGCATCTTCTTTCCCTGCGGCGAAGGCGTCGGTCTCTTGGCCTCGAAACTCGAGATGAGAGTCTCCAGCATCGCGGCCTCCTCCGGGCTCCTCGCCGTGGTCAAGCTGCCCCCTTGCCCTCGCAGAACTCCTGGGCCTCGTCGAAGTCTCTCTTGCCGAACTGCAGCGCGTAGCACGCGTCCCCCGCGCAGAGCGTCTCCGCGGGCTCCGATCCGCGGCATCCCGTCCCGAGGAGGAGCAGTGCCCCATGCAGCAGCACGAGCCAGCACGCCGCTCTCGGGACCTTCATCACGCCGGGAATCACGACAATGATGCTATCCGCCCCCCTCCCCACTACCACAGCAAGGCCCAGGTGTCCTCCACCCCCGATGCAATGTGCCCTATAATCTCGGGTCGCCCCGCGCGCATTTGCTCTCCTCTCTCGTAATCGACTAAACCAAGAGAGAGCTGGAGAGTTCCGAGCGGAGTGTACGACGGCGTGCGTTCATGCCCCACATCCTGCCCAGTTTATATCTCGGCGAGCTGCCGACCCCCACCTACCCCCGACTCCGTACCCCTGCCAGGGCAATATCCTGCCCTCCGTAAATACTCCCACCCCACCCCACACCCCTCCTCCTCCTAACTACTGCGATGCCCCGCACGCACCGCTGGGGCAGAGCTTATTGTCGTCGCTAATGCGGCGCATTTAGCGCACGGGCACCGCAACGCTCGTCCGGCGTGTTCAGAGGGGCCGCGTCGGGTCCCGCGCCCCACCGCCAAAGGTCGCCCGCTCCACCGCGGCCTCTTTGCTCCCAGTCGACGGTTCGACGGCGTTCGCCTTCTGCGTCACCGCCGCTTCGCCGTCGCTTCAGCGGCTGGGGGGGGTGGGGGAAGTCGAGGCAGCGTTTAGACGAAGGGGGGTGGGGGGGGGAGGAACGATGCGTGGAGTTTCAGTCAACGTCGAACACTCCCCCACCGCCCCCCCCAGCTTAACAAGTTTCGCGAAACCCACGATCGCCGCGGTGAAGAGCGGCAGGCAGAGCCATGCAGAGGTCACAGGCGCACGCAGTTCTGCTGACCGCTGAAATCCCAAGTTTATCTACAAAACAGTCGCGCCGCGCGCGCGCGGTTATGTAAGCGAGTTTACATTTCTCAAGGGAAGCTCAAGACATTCCCATACATTTTCAAGTGATTCATGGTTTCCTCTGTACGCCCAGCCCATTTCGTTGCGTACAAAAGCGGCGCCAGGGGCAACTGTTTGCCGCTCTCTGGCTCAACGCAGCTCTGCTCATTTTCCCAGCTAAGTTTCAGGCCCAGGAGACCTCTCTATCTTTGCGGGGGTGGGGTGTGATGGAGTCCACCACCCCCTATCTAGAACCTTGTGTGTGTGCATTTCTAGCCAGTCGAGAGTGAGCGAGTGACCGAGTGGTGAGCGTTCTGTAATATTTAATCATGTTGTGGTCGAGAAAGGGGTTCTCAGAGAAAGTTTAAATTTGGCACAAATAATATATCCGATGCTCTGCTTTATAACGGGAACAAAATCCGAGAACCAAACTTTCAAATGTTTTGGCCCCTAAACATTTTGGAGAGTGCTCTTCCGCAAATGTGACCGCATATTTCTGCTCACATTTTTTTATTGTTCTTGAACTAACCCTTAGGAAGAGTCTGACGCTAAAACAAATCAAAATCGAGCGAAGTCAGCTCTCACGCACGTCTCTATATTATATATAATGCACAGGCGCTGTCATGTTCCAATTGGGTTTTGTTTGTTTGTATTCGCCTGCCGCTGCTCGTCCGTACGTATGAGAGGATGTAATACTGTATCAACGTCAATACCGATGTCAAAAGGTACACAGTGGCTGCTGCCGGTGGCTGATGGGCTCGGTGACTGTACAGAACCCTCAAAGAACTCCCGAGTCTCATCACGCGCGGTCCCTTGCGCCTCGCCGGCAGTCATTAATTGCAACGTTCATTTAAACAAGCCCTCGAAGATCGCGCCATTCTCTTGATTTGTTCGGAGTCGCACCTCGTCACGTGACCTCGTCACGTGACGAGGACGAGAGCACCTTCGTGGGCGGCACCGCGCGGTTGCGTGGATGCTCGGGACCGGAGGTCAACTCCGTTGAACGCTCTTGTCGCTGTTACTTACCATGCTCTCATTTTGATGCTGCGTTGGCAGTGGTGCATGGGCGCGAAGGACACAATCTCAATACCTTCGTCGGAACAAGCAGAGTAATTGCCAGAAACGTCGCCTGGTGTATATATATGTGTTTCCCTTCGATGGCCACGGTGTGATTGACGAATGTGTTCAATCTGTAGCGGAACTACATTATCAGCTCAGGGGGATGCGTGCCATCGCCTGTTATATATCCAGGCTCCTCTTGCCTCATCGCGTCGTTCCGTACGTGTTTGTGTCTTCTTATTCCGTTGTTGTGAAGATATATCTCATGGTGGTTGTGAAGGATGGGAGAGGGGGGGGGCAACTCGTGGCTTTGGCCACCAGGGGCGAGGCCAATGCACCCCTTGCCCGCCCCACGCTCGCTACGCTGCCACTGGTGCTCCGTGTCTTGTTAGAGGCGCGCGACGAGAGAGGCGGCTGCAAGCGCGCGCAGCTCTGCCCGGTGCGCAGGCGGTGCAACTGCACCGGAGCGCACGGGCGTAGGGGCCTACTAAGGCGCAGGGGCCAAAACGAAATGCGGTGGAGAGAGGTGGTGGTGGGGGGGGAGGAGATTTGTAAGTTTATTCATGGCCCACGATGCCACAACTTACACAATGCACTGATCGTCAAGGTTACGGGGATGTGATCCGATTTAGGAATGTAATAATAGTCTGTGTTGTTGTTTATCTGTGTGAATCCTTGCATGTAGCGGCCACCAATGGCTGCAGGGGTCACATTGAAATCACATTGTCGTCTCGGATCAGTCTTTAAGCATCGCCCCTGCCCGGTAGGTTCTACTCCTCCGTCCAGGTCGGCTAGTGAAGAACTCTTCACGCATCATGGCCCAACCATCGCCACCGCCTCGCGGCGCTTACAGTGCAATGCGCATTCCTCCTCGGCGGTCGTCAGCGCCCGATATTTAATGAAAGTCGTTGGCCGTGTTGCGAGAATAGGGACGTGGATATATTTAGCCGGCCAAACACTGTCGCTCAATAGCATCGCCTATTGAATGCATACCGCTGAATATTAGATTTTTTTTGTCTTTCTCCTTCGGTCCAAATCAGCCATCCGAGCCCATTTAGTGCCGTATTGAGCCGCGCTCGGTGTTCTTTCATCGATTGTTGCGGGACATTGCTATCTGATCATCTGGGGGCGCAAATGAAGAATGTTCACCGCAACAGAAAGTTTGGGGGGGGGGGGCAGGGTGGGGGCGCGCCTCGATGTAGCTTCTCGTTGCGCGAAGACTCTTCGACTGCAGCGAGCGGAGATTGATAGTCATTGCATCGACAATCCACTGCTGGATTTAAAAATATATTTAGGAAGACTTTGTGACGCCATGCCGTTCGTAAGAGTGTTTTTTTTTAACCGCACTTCACGTGTCGATGAAGGGGAACGCGCGCGGGGCCCGTGAGCGGTGGCACGGAAGCCTCTCGACACTGAGGCTCGCTCGCCGTGGCCGGGAATAGCAACGGAGGTCATCGCTCAGTGCGCTAACCGCTGCGCCACCGCTCCGCCACCACCTCCCAAAGTCACCATCGTGGTCAGCCATAATCAGCTGGATGAAGGCTTCCCCACGCCGTCTTCAATTCTCACGATTATAATTCAGTTCGTTGTCCTTGCTCCGCACCTTCGATTAGCACGGTCGGCTATGTACGGTGCGAAATAAGTTCAGCATGCACGCGTTCCTTCAAATGTAGTAACGCGAATAATAATAACGTGAGTAATAATCGACCAAGCGCATGCACGCGAGTTGATTTAATCGCTCCGTCTCCTCTGTGAATTTATTTAATCGCTCCGTCTCCTCTGTGCACGAGCACTCTATGTAATAACCCCGGCCACTCCGTTATTATCTTTCACCATCCCGCTCCCAGCAATCCGTCCTGCCTTAGGCCCACTTTTCTCAAACAGTTTTAATGAAGCCATTCGTCTGACAGTTCCCCACAACATAGATAGGTTTAGTCGGCAACAACGATTTGGGGAGGAGGGTGGGGAGAGGTTGGTGAACGGGGTGGACGTTCGTGTACCCATCTCAATCCGCAACATTCCATCCACCGGTCTAGACAGCCGAGCCCATTATCCGCCTTGCAATCGCAGGGGGTGGAGAGTGGGAAGGGACGTGGGGATTCTTTTTGAGGGATGGCCATGTCGAGACAGGGATGTGTGCATTTGTTGGGCCCTCTGCAGCGAGGGTACAATGCACTGTGGATGTTTTTTTTTATTATCAGGGGACGTCGAACGATAACCGGTAAAAAAATTTAGACTCGGCCACCAATTGCCGAATCGGCCCTGGCAGCGAGGACGTTATCCGCTGCAATCAAGGCAAAGGACTGGCTGTGAGTGTACAGCAGTGTTGATAACATTCCGAATATTATTTATGTATCCAAGAAAACCATACTGAATCATGTAACTAATTTTCAGGGGTGTCCTGCATCGGGTTTTAATTTTAAGGTGATTCCAGCCAATCAATGACGAGTTGTGTTTATTGCACGTGAGGAATGAAACCGGAGCACCCGGAGTAAACACTCGCGCGAAAACGGAGCAACACTTAATCCCCGTACAGATGGGAACAGGTGGAGATTACTCCACTTGCTGTGCTGCCTTATACTGGCGAGCCAGGGCATGGCACCTACTCGACACTCACAGGAAGGGAGTCTCACGACATTTGTGAGATCCACCAACCCTTATGCAGCGATAATATAAATACGTGCCACGGTGGCTAGGAGATGTTAACTACCTCGCCAGGAGGTCGTGGGTTTGATTCCGTCCCTGACGCCTGCTGAATATTTGTAGCGTGTCTCTCTCCCGGTGGTGGCGTAGATTTTTCTTCAGCTCCTCCAGTGTCCCCTCCGCATGTATAAACACGCATTTAGGGTATTTATCTGCTATAAATATCCACGTGATAAGCCACTTCGGCGAGCTATCATTTGTGATAGCCATGTCGATTCTGAATAAGAGCTATGCTGTATATCTCAGTGGGCCTTACCTGGTAAAATAATAAATATAACATAGTTAAATAGTGGAAGCAGAAAATACACTTCACTCCCACATTTGTTTCTTCACGTAAACACACAAAACAAATGAGAGTGTTTATTACGCATTCCGTCGACCACACGCTCCTGCGCGACGCCTAACGTTTGGCTCCTTCCGTCCCTCCCCCCACCCCACCACCCCCGAAGAAGCTCCCAGCACACGGAGCGAAACGTCGGACACCATGGTGGCCGAACAACACGCGGTAGGAGCCGGACACGCATCGGAGAGCTGAACAGCAGCGGAACCCCCTCCCCCCCCCCCCCCCATGCATCAGTGAATTTGTGTGTTCTGTTGTTTTTGTTGGCCGGCGTCATTCGCGTGGATGATGATGATGATGATGTTTGTTGCTGTTTCCCTCTCCCGGCAAAGACGCATTCCGCAGTTTAATGAAAAGCGCCTCT